CTGGTTTCATTCGCAACGTGTGGAGCCAAATATATCACAAGGGATATAATTAGAATAATAGGTTTGGTTCAATCTTTCAGATTTTTCTAAACAGCCTAAATGCTTATTTTTTTACTTACTTTTTGCTTACTTACATTTTAAGTGTATTTAAACTTGTAACCTTTTGATATTCCATATCAAGGTAAAACAGTTCTCATATCACATTTTTTCTTACTTTCATGTCATATTATCCATCCATCCATTGCAGTCTATAAAAGTCCACAGCTGCACATAGGCCTACCAACACCCAAATGCCTGATAGAGGGGTGTCATATTATGTAGCTTTTTATTTTTTATTTTATGTGTCAACAAAATAATATGTAATAATATACTGTCTTTAGATTTAAAAATGCATCTGTTAAATCCCATTTGTTTGGGAATTAACAATTTAAGTACTAGTAAACTGACTGTCCTTTACACACCGGATAATTTTGTCCCAGAATTCAGTTATTATTTCTAACTTGTTCTGCCAATTTTTTGTGGACGTTAAAGGTTTACATAACCTTAATAAAACCATGAGTTAAATTTATTTATAGCACTTATTTCTTTCCATAATCAGGATTTTCTGATAATTAAAGAAAGTTTAGTTGTAATCTCAGGGTATACAACTAAATCTCAGGGTATATAATTTCCGAGTCTGCTGCCCCAACTTTCAAATCATTGGTATGTTGGTATATTTTGCTACCTTGATGTCCGGTGATCATGTGGGGGTTCTCTTACTTTGACAATTTTTGGACTTCTTTTGCCAAATCCCTGTGAGACTTTCTAGTACTTTTACATCTATAAATTGTAACAAGTTTTTCATTATGTTACACTCATAATATTGAGCCTTTTGTAATAAAAATTATACCATTAATTATCTCAGTACCGCAAAATATTTTACTTTATAGTGACAGCGCTTTAATGTTAATTCAAAACCTGTTTAACCTCAAAGTGTTAGCTTTAAAAGATCTGAATAGTTAATCGTGTCTATCCTGAATATCGGTTTATGATAGCTCTAACGGTTTAAAGCCTGCAGTGATTTCTTCCGAGCCGTAGTCCATCTTAAAGTCTTCCTTCAAGTGATATTGCTTTCAATTCAAACCTGTCTAACCTCAAAGTGTTAACTCTAAGGTTTGAATAGTCAACCGTGTCTATCCTCTATGTGATAGCTCTAACTGTTTAAAGCCTGCAGTGATGTCTTCTGAGTCCTAGCCCATCTTAATATCTTTTCACTAATGATAGCATCTTACAGGTGAATTAAGACCTGTCTACCTTCCAAGTCATAGCGGTAAAGTCTGAATAGTTAACCATGTCTATCCTCATAAATGACAGCTCTAATGCATAGTGTTTTAAATAACTTATGCTAGATATTCTCCCAACAATTTTAAGTCAGTTACAGTAATTACTTCTGCCTCTCTGCACCGCTTAATATCTACCAGTAGTATTTTTCGTTCCTATTTTATTATATGTAACATAATTAACGCACACCCTCAGACACCCCAATTAGTATATTATGTTATAATCATAATACATACACTGAATTTTTAGTTAAACATTTTATGCACTAATTATTTATCAAATTAGTTGTATTAATTCCGGAAACTGTGGTCACAGTACAAATCCACGAACGCAAAGACTTTAACGTGCTTGAAATAAAGTTCATTTTTCTTTATTTTTATTGAGTGACAGAATTAGTAATAATACAAATAAAACTGCACTCTTAAAAGTCTTATTGCCTTAAGTTACGGTCCATTTCAGTTTGTTTTGACTGTACAGATGTAGTGTGACTGTAATTTACGTAGTTTTAATTATTTTTGCCTATATTAAAAATGATAGAAATCGATTCAGTAAACGATTCTGAACAAACTACTTTCTCAAAGTGCGTTAATTATGTTACATATTGTAAATCCATGTATATATTCTAAGTGACAGTTCTAACGGTCTATATATAGCATCTATATAACTCATGTTAGATATTTTTCCCAGCAGTTTTAAGCCAATAATGCTTTTGCATCCCTATCTTTTCAGTATTATCTTTTCCTATTTCTTCAATACTGTCCGAAACTACCTGTATGTCAAAAGTGGGAATAATCTTGCCCAATTACTGACAAAGGCGACTGCCCAACGTAAATAATTGAAAGTAAGAAAAACATTAATATGTATATATCACTTAAAATTTCTCAACGTATCTCTGTACAATATTTCTCAACCCACATTTAAAGGTTAGAAGTACATATTTACTATTTAATATTATATGAGGGACGAGGTTATGTTATTAAACCTAATAGTGAATTTGTTCGATAATTTATCATACTTGTTAATAAATGTTTCGATACATAGTGAAGTGTTTTAATTTTATTTATTTTTATATACACGTGCACCTACCTCGAAAAATAGGGTTTTTGTTTACCTTATCGGCCATTTTGAATATCGTCCTTTCCCAAGTACATAATCAAATTATTACCACGCAGATACGTAATAAATTTATTTGTAGTAGCTTTTGGATACAAAACATTTGATTTTACACTAAACATATTTAATTTTTACAAAAAAAAGTTATAAAAACACACCGTGACGGCTGGCACAAAAAACGTAATGAAGTTGCATTGACGGACGGGTTGATACAGTGTTGCCATATACTGCTCCCTAAAAATTTTTTTCAGTAAGCTTAGATAAATTGTGATGCTGGCATGGAATACGGCGTTCTACAATTGTTAAGAATGTCTAGAACAAGGAGAGAGTATAATTTAAATAGTGAATATGACTAGTTATATGGCATTCAAATTCGCCAGACCTTTCATTGTTAGATTTTAATTTGTCGAGTGAAATAAAAAGTCGTGTTTACAATGAGGCCCAAAGTTGTGAAGACCACCATATTAAAATTATTGTTGCGTTCACGGGAAGTTAAAAGTACTCAAGCACAGATAATAATTGTAAAAATAATTTAGGAAACTGTTGTTTAGAAAGTAATTTAGGAACATGCCCGTCTATGCATAGAGAGAAACGGGTTCCACTTTGAGGTACCAATATTAGTTTTTTTTAAGAATATTAACAATGCTATAAACATTACTAATATTCCCCTTAACCACTCGTGGTAAGCTTAAATTTCTTGTGTTACGAGTGGTTCACGCCAGTAGTCGAATGGCGGATTCGAACCCACGATCTTTTTGAGTTCGCGGTCCGCACCCTGCCATTAGGCTACTGTCGCCTTAAGTTATGGGGACTACTTGCGTAATTTAGTTATAAATTGTTTGTTCCAATTTTTAAATACGCCAAAATACTGACAATCGTCTGTTACGTCATTGATAAGAAAAAATATTTTTTTTTAACTTTATTTATTATGACGAGCCTAAGCCCGTTAAAAGTGTAAAGTAAAAATTGTGTTTCACTAAGAAAGTAAACAGTAGGCAAAAACTTGAGGATCGAAAACATGAATTGAATCGTATACACGGCGCGCATATTTGTATTTTTTGTATAGTACAGGGTGGGCCAGAAAGAATTGCGAATTTGAAAAAATCATTAAAAAAAAAACTAAGTACAATTCACATACAAATTTTTATTTCTACAAAAATTTACATCTGGGAAAATTACATTTCTTAAAAATAACATCATCCAGTTGTGCACCATCGCGCTGCAAACATTCTTCGAATCTGAACCTCAAATTGGTAAAAACTCGCTGGCACATTGCACGGGGAATATCTGCCATTTCTTTCCGGATATTGGTCTTCAACTGGTCAATTGTGGCTGGGTTATTGGAGTAGACTCTACTTTTTAGGTATCTCCACAAAAAAAAGTCCAGTGGTGTAAGATCCGGACTTCTAGGAGGCCATTCAATGTCACCTCGGCGCGATATCAGTTTCTCACCAAACATCTCGTTTACGACCGTCAAAGAGGCATTAGCTGTGTGGCATGTCGCGCCATCTTGTTGAAACCATGTCACACGATTATAGGCTTCAAATTGTTGCAGTTGTGGAAAGAAAAAATCCCTTAACATGGCTATGTATCGGTCAGAATTTACAGTGACAGATTGGCCTTGTCGATTTTCGAAGAAGTGGGGTCCGATAATTCCGTGCGCTGACATGGCCGCCCAAACGGTTACTTTCGGCGAATGTAGAGGCTTTTGATGTTTTGCAAGTGGGTTCTCTGCAGCCCAGTAACAGCAATTCTGTTTATTCACCTGCCCATTTATGTGAAAATGGGCTTCGTCGGAGAACAGAATATTGTTGAAACTCCGAAAGCGTTCCAGCATCGTTTCAACAAAAGCTCTCCTTAAAATTGGATCATTTGGCTGTAATTCCTGCACAAGTTGAATTTTATACGGATGCAATTTCAGATCTTTCAACAAAATGCGACGCAAAGATGTTCTGGACACCACAAGTTCGGCTGAACGCTTTCGAGTCGATAGAACAGGATTACGTTGAACTGAAGCTCTAACTTGTTCAATTGTGTCTTTCGTTCTTGTTGACCTTGGGCGTCCCGCAGGCTTCTGTTTGAGAGTCGAACCAGTAGCTTCGAACTTTCTGACCCACGATCGAATCACGCTTTCCTTCGGACACTGATTTAGGTCATGTAATCCAAACTCACGTCGAAATAAACGCCGAACAATAGCGCACGAATCGTGATTTTTATATTAATGTTTAACGCAGAAAGCACGTTGCGCTCCCGTGAAGTGATCCATCGCGACTAAATTTCCGAGAACCGAGCTACTTAACCCCACCACCCGCGCAGTCCCCTCTCTAAAGCTTCAAACGCAAGAGTGTTTTTAAAATCGTAGTCCTTTCTGGCCCACCCGTATATAAACCACATTCAATTTGGGATCATTTTCAAATAAAGGTAGAATTCTTATATTTACTCGTATTTTCAAACAGTGTAATATCGGTATATCATTATGTATACATTTGAACTTAATTATAAAACTTGCCTAATCTGAAAAATAACCATGTATGACGTATATGTATTATGTATACATTTGAAGTTAATTATAAAACTTGCCTTACATAAAAAATAACCTTGTCATCTGGACAAAATACATTGGGGTTCTGACCTCTGTTCGGCGATATAATGTCGAAGGCACACTCGAGCGCCTCCCGCGGGTGTGCGGGCGCGGGCGAGTGCGTGCCGAGAGTCGCGTGCGGGGTGCGCGGCGCGAGCTCGCGGAACACGCGCGACACCGCGTAACGCCGCGCGCGCCTCAGCCCCGTGTGCGCCACCAACCTGCACACACACGCACACACACACACACACAGTGCACTTCTTAGTTCGTACGAAAAGCACATACTCACACTATCAACGTGAATACGTATTTAAATTTGCTTTCATAGTGGGAGGCAATTCGGAAAACTGATCATAACAAAATCATTATCACTGGCAACACGCGCTGGTTGTACACTCTCGTTTTCAGTTTTTGAGGTATTTGACGAGAAGATGTGTCACAATTTCCCGAACGCTGCCCAGCCGAGTTGAATCCGTCGAATCCAATTTCGCCGATTGAAAGTTTAATTACACAATTCTAAAGCTACAGGCTCAATGAACTCGTTAAGTGAGGACTGTGACGGATCGCACGCGGCTGAGGCGCTGCCATTTTGAGGACTTTTCGCTGCACGTATTCACGTAACGCACAAGACTGTATCCAAGACAATATCACACTCCGATTTATTTTTACAAATTTTTATATTATGATTGTATATAATGTGTGAAGTTATAGTTGAGGATGTAAGAAACTTTAAGTGGAATCGTATGTTAAACATTTGAGCCTGTTTGTTATTTTTTCTACATTTGTATTTAGGTAGAAGATAGATCGATAACAGCCTATTTATTTTGTTATTGTTTGTTATGTATTTATTTGTTTATAATTTATTTATTACGCCCGACTTCCCACTTTAGTAGTCATTTTGAATGTACTTCATCAGAGTAGCATGTCACTCACCTGGCGAATGGCAGACGCAGGTCGTAGGGCAGGTGGCAGACGGTGCCCGAGGCCGTCAGCACGCGCACCGCGTCACTGCGCGCCTCCCACGCCTCGCCCATCGGAGTCAGCAGAGGCGGCAATAGCTCTGCGGCGCCGTGGCTGCGGAATACCTGCGCACAAACACGCGCACACTACACGCACAATACACGTACACAGTGCATGCACACAGTACATGCATACAGTATATGCTCACAGTACACGTGCTCGCCGCAACTTCAACATAACACTAACATAACACTAACACTAAACATAAACTATAGGTTTATAAAGTGGGCGCGTGCGCCCCTAGAGGTGCGCAGACCATCTGCGTAGTTAAGGACCTTACGAGCAATATACGTACTACTATACGTACAGTGTACGTACACAGTTACTAAAACCATTTACTCAACCGTTCGCTGCGGTTAGTGCGAACGATTCGTTCGGCGGCTTGTTCGTGCACTGCCGCGCAGTTGACAAACAGTCACTTAGACTGAGCTACTTTCGCGCATTTGTTGCGATTGTTGTCAACAAGATGAAATGTGTGCACAGTGCTTTATCTGTTACGAAGTATTGAACAACAATGCCTTAAGACCGACTCGTCTGAAGCAACATTGTGTTATAAACGAACTAAACCATCCTCACTATTACAGTCTATCAAAACTCCACTACTAAACATAGGCTTCCCTCATAAATGGCCTCATAGGGGGTATAATCGCCATAGTTTCCACGCTCAAGAGGCTGGTATTTTGAGCTGTTATTTGGAAGATGCTGCTATCTATGTCCTGTTTCAACTTCCCTATATTGCCTTTTAGTTATACTCACAGGATAATATGAGTTAGTAGATTCTTTTACGCTACCACTATAAGGCTAAACAGTTTGACCCTAGGTACTTAATGGTAAGTGGTTACTGCTTTAAAATATTGTTTTCTGCAGTTCGAAGTCTAGGGCAATTATGTTCCGGCTTTTTAAAAGGCGCGCGTGGGGCCTAAGCCTAATTACGTGTTCGTCATTGAACTGTTCTCGTACACTTAGAGGGATCACTAGCAACTTTCTCAAAAACAAAGTCAACGCGGTCGGGATCTATCGGTTTACCTTCACAAGATCGTCGACCGATGAATCCTGGTAAGCTTTTTATATGTACGAGTTATGCACGGGAAGAAAAAGATGTCAGTTTGGATAAGTGTCTGGTCCGCGCCTTCTCCTGCGTATCAACTAGTCCCGGTACGATCTCGCAGCAAGTCCGACAGTTCCTCGAGAGTAGCCGTAATAATAATGCATTTCTGCATAATCCCGTTGAGAGTACGCCATAATAACAATGCACAATATCAAAGTACAGTAAACGTGTCGAGTTGCTGTTTCAGGGAATTAAAATGTTCAAATCAGTATGCAATTAAAGTCCAAAACACAAGCCTAGTACATAAAATTCAATAATACACAGAAACGTACGCACGAGCGAGCGTAAAAGTAGGCGATAACCGTCTGACAACTAAGACGAGAGAGAGGAACGCAGGCCGCGCATTGCATGTCATTTCTATTGTTGTCTCTTTTCAACACCACCTGTTCCTTACGTCACTTGCCTGTGCCCGAGAACCTCTCTCATTTTTAAATTGTGCCTTAAATAAAAGTTGTACTTGCTAGTAAAATTTTATGTAAATACATTATTTTAAATCTTTTTATACAACATTCATAATTATTCACCATATTAATCGGAAAATGTGAGAAGTAATTTGAAATCATTATCATCATCATCATTTCATCACCCTTTACAAGCACGGTCCTGAGCCACCTGCATCCATTGACTTCCTGCATGTCTTACTCGTTCGTCACTCCATCTAGTGGGGGGTCGCCCTACACTACGCCTACCAGTACGAGGCTACAACTTGAGAACCTATTTTCTCCTTCGGTTGTCGGTTCTTCGAGCTATATGGCCGACGCATTGCCACTTTAGCTTACTAAGCCGTTGGGCTATGTCGGTCACGCTGGTTCTACAGCGGATATCATATAATGGCGGCTCCACATTATCGCCGTGAACTCACGGCACAAGTCGTGCCCTCCACATTCACGGCATGCTCACAATCGTTCGTGACGCCCGCCGCGAAACGGACGTACAAGCTGCTGCTATAATAACTTTATTTATTTATTATATTTATATTATATATTTTATAAGTGGTAGAGCCATGCTGCAGTTATATTAGTAGTATAGTTGTAGCACGAATGGGTCGGTTCGACCGGGGAAGGACCGCGCTCTAACAGAATACCAGCGTGAAATAGTAGCTTAATGCTACTACTACTACTTCGTACGGTGAGTGTAGAGAACCGCAGACCCTTTTTACTGGAAACGAGGGAATTAATCTTAGTCCTCAGGGGTGACAACGCATCTGCATTTTGATTTGTAATTAAGGATAGATGTAGATGTCTATGGGCTGCAGCTTACCATCAGGTGAACTGTGTGCTAGTTCGTTACCCTGTTCAATACAAAAAAATTGCTGTGACAACATATTCGTATCACTATTTAGACGTCCAAAACAAGAAATTTATTAGAAAGCATTGAGAAAAAAAGATGATGGTGAATGACTAAATTAAATTGTGCGTACGCCCTTGTAGTCCAAAATGAACTGGCACGATGCCGTGAATTGCGCCCTTTGTCGCGGGTCAAAATACCGACTCTGATCGGGGAACAGGCGCGAACACGCGTGAATCCTGAGAAAACCATCAACATTCACGTTCACGCCTGTTCACGGAGGTTCACGGCGTTAATGTGGAGCCGCGGTAATAGGTTTCAAATGCATGAAATAAATTTCATTTCGTTTTCACACAATAATAAACCACAATGTACTAACTTTTTTGTGTTATTCAAAAGAGCTAAGGAATCAATAGTTTTTAAAATTATTCAGTTCGGGTAAGTTTTTTTTTTCAAGTTGAAATCAAATGAAAATTTCTCTGAAACTGAAATTTTTATTTTGTGAGCTAAGTGTAAGCTACTAGAATTTTGGTATAAACATATACAAAAATACAAAAAAAAATCTCTGAGAATTTCTTTACCGAAAAAAGGAGACAATCAATTTTTGTATGGAGAATGGGCCCACCACAAATTTTCGCGTCACGCAATGAAATGGATGTCGATTTATTCCTTATAATTTATAGTTTACAAAAGTAATATTAGTTTTACCACATCTAGACGGAAAATCGAGAAATTGACAATTAAAATATGCATTTTAAAATAACCTATAAATAAACTAAAAGCTATTTATAGTGGTTTTTACCGGTATTTTAAGTTAAAATAGTGCACTGTTGAATAATAGTTCATATAAAACCAAGTTGTAGGTACATTCAGCATTTTCAGGTACTTCAATATTTTTAGTAGTTACGGCAAAATATAGTGCCTGTCTGTGTACAAATGTGGTATGGATACAATTTTTTACATATATTGATTGTGAGTGTACTTCCCAATTACCGTTAAAATAATATGAATAAATTCAAGATGACTAAGGTATAATATATCCATTTATATTTACAATATTACCAACACACGTTATATAGTAAGAAAGATGTTTTAAACTGACTGTGTAAAAAACAAGTTATAATGCAACCGTATTTATAGATGGTAAATCATCATTTCCAACATAGTCTATATAATTCAGACATATAATTCAGATCTATTTATGCAGACAGACAGACAGGCCCGGTGTCAAGACTTTTTTTAATATGCTTTGGTTGATTATTAAATACCTAATTATACATCTTAAAATGACTGGGTTCTAAAATACCAAAATGACTAGGTAATATCATGCTTATCTGTTATTACACACTGATAAATTGTGAGGAAGTAAGATGTTTTGAACTGTTTGTGCCAGGATAACAAACACACAGGTATAGTTTAATTGTATTTATTATTAGCGATCCGCCCCGACTTCGCACAGGTGATTTCTGGATTTCGACAACAGCGCCACCTACCGAGTCCATATGTGAATATGAATCATATAGAGACCCGTTCAAACACACATAAACATATCATCAAAATCGCTTGGATGGTTTCTAACGGACATAGGTAGAAACATTTTTCGTGTTTTCATATCAAAAGATCATATTAAAAGATTTTTTCAAAATAACTTGATGGTAACATTTCTATTTATGATACGATATTGATATGTAATAAGTCCCAAAGATCATGTATAATCACTGCATTAATTATGGTTAAAATCGTCAGTGTTTTATGAGTCCTCTTTTAAAAATAACACAGCAGACAGGTGCAGTGCCGGCCCTTTGTTCATTAAAGTATTCATCTATTAGCAAGTATAAATCCCATACATCATTAAAATATAATGTCTCGCCCGTTTACGATATTATTAGAAATCAGAAGGATATTGTCAATTAAAAGAGATAAAAAAGGGTGCCAAAGCAATAAATTCAACTTTGCTCGGCGTTTATTTATAAATTACACATATAACATAATATATAACAGATAATAAAGCACACAGTAAAATAGAAATAGTTCAAATAAGCAACAAAAATTACAATTTTTAGTCATCATTATTCATCATCATTACAACAGTCCACTGCCGAACATATGGCTCCTAAATTAAAGATATAATGTAAAATATTACAGAGGCCTTCCGTGAATTGCCATCACGTTCCGTCCCGTATGGTGTCGTTAAAGTCGACAGAATAAAATAAAAATACTAGGAGATGGGGAGCAGCATCTTCCTATAGAATACCACAAAAAACTTTGGTTGCCACAAGTGAAGCAACTATAGCAAAAATGATCATTTATATTACAATATTAATACGCATTAAGATTAATAATCATCATTCATCATTTTCAATATCATTACTTGAAAGTAATATATCATCTAAAAAAAGATGCAGGTGGTTCAACCTCATCTCGATGCCGTGCCCAAGATAGAAACCAGACAACAGACATGACATGTGCACAGCAGCCAACAGTGCGTCTGCCTACCAAACAGTTGCAACAGTACCCAGTAAGAGCAGCCCTAGTGTTAGCAATTGATGGGTTGGTGTCAACTAGTATATAAGTGTAATAAGTTTTTTTACTAGTGTGCCTTGATTGTATCCTACCTCGCAATAGATAACTATTTGGACCAAAATCATGGACAGATTGCAGGTATACCTC